TATTGTATCAAATACTTATTTCATGCAACAAAATGGAAATAAATTATTATAAAATCTAACAATGTGATTTTCTGGAATTTTTTTGTAGATTCTGTCTCTCACAGTTGAGGTGTACCTACGATGAAAATTACAGATCTGTCCATTCTTTGTAAGTGGGAAAACATGAAAAATTGGCAGTGTATCAAATACTTATTTGCCCCAATGTACATATCATTTGTTCATCTGTTGTTGTCTTTGTTGCTCAACACTGTGTTTCAGTGTAGTGCAGGGTTTTCAAATCAGTCTGTGTTTACAGCTGCAATCACATAATGATGTCCTGTGATGGATTCTCTTCATGTTTCTTTTTCTTCATTTTTGGACAGTATTTGTAGTAAGCTATTTTAACATACAGTAAACATACACTGTTTCAGTTATACAAACAACACACAGTGGTTGCGAAAGCTGTGGACTTGATTACCAATTCATAAAGTTCGCCAACATGCATCTCAGTGCTGCGTATGTTGCCACTCTTTTTTTCAACAGGGCTATTGCAAATATCAGAAAATCGAGTTGGAGTCCTGCTCTTGGCCGGCGGTCAGGGAACCCGTCTCGGTGTGCTGTATCCCAAAGGCATGTATAATGTTGGACTACCAAGTGGCAAAACCTTGTATCAGATTCAGGCCGAGCGCATTCACAAAATCCAGGAGCTAGCAGATGTGAAGCATGGCTCAAAATGCACTGTTCCATGGTAAGATTATATGATAGATCTTTTATGCCAAAGTCACTGCTTATTTTCACCTCCAGCAGACACAGCCACATTACTGTTCACTTGGAGTGTTCCTGTTCACCATTATTCACTCTCCTTTTAGGTTTAGGAATCCATCAACACCAAAGAAAAATATCAATTTTTTATTTTAGCTCATAAATGCATAAATGAGACAAATTCTGGAGACTCTGATAACATTAAAAGTGAATAAATATAAAAATTAAAATGAAACGCTCCACTATATTCACAATCTAGTTGTTAACTGACAGGTGGTGTTTTTTTTTTTTGTTTTAGTTTTTTTTTTATATATACTGAAAACAGTTGCCTGCTGCAGCTGAAAATGCTGATGAGAGTCGGGGTGTGAACCAAAAGGGGAAATTTATTTTCAGGGCCAGAAAAGTAAAACAATGAGCTTTTGATACTGACACCAGAACCTTTTGCTGTGGTGGTCTGCTTGGCTTGTTCCCATGATCAACATGTGACTCTTCTCCCACTGGAGAAACTGACTCATCATCTCACTCATAAATGCATAAATGAGACAAATTCTGGAGACTCTGATAACATTAAAAGTAAATAAATATAAAAATTAAAATGAAACGCTCCACTATATTCACAATCTAGTTGTTAACTGACAGGTGGTGTTTTTTCTTTGTTTTGTTTGTTTTTTCAATGCAGCTTTAAGAAATGTTAAACTTTTTCTTCTGTTTTTGACTCTGTGATTAAACTTGATGAAGTCTGAAGATTAATAATGTCACCAAGATTGTAGAGTAATAATGTCACCAAGACTGTAGATGTTTTAAAAAGCCTGTAAAGTTGAGGATACCTGTCACCAGTTGATGACTCTTAGGAGTGATCCCATTCACATACAAGCACTGATATAATCTGCTGTTAATATAAATATATTGATCAATGCAGCTTTAAGAAATGTTAAACTTTTTTTTCTTCTGTTTTTGACTCTGTGATTAAACTTGATGAAGTCTGAAGATTAATAATGTCACCAAGATTGTAGAGTAATAATGTCACCAAGACTGTAGAGAGTAAATACAACTTTAAACCTTTTTTCTCTCACCTCTCAGGTATATAATGACCAGTGAGTTCACTCTGGCTCCCACTGAGATGTTCTTCAAGGAGAACAACTACTTTGGTCTGGAGCCATCTAACATCATTATGTTTGAGCAAAGGATGATCCCAGCAGTGACCTTTGATGGAAAGGTCATCCTGCAGGATAAAGGGAAGATAGCAATGGCCCCCGGTACGTACTTATCAGCAATTTCGGAAAACCCAGGCACAAATATCACAGATGTGTGTTTAGGATAGTTTGAGGGAATGATCCTTGTTTCACAATGTCTCCACTCTGTCAGATGGTAATGGTGGTCTGTACCAGGCCTTGGTGGACAATAAGGTGCTTGAAGACATGAAGAAGAGGGGGGTGGAGTACCTGCATGTGTACGGTGTAGACAACATCCTGGTCAAGATGGCCGACCCTGTGTTCATCGGCTTCTGTGTGAGCAAAGGGGCTGACTGTGGAGACAAGGTAAAGGAATGTTGTACAGTAGTGAGAGTTGTACAAGAGTGAGTTAAAGAAGTAGCATGACAGTTATTTGCATTCTTTCTGAGATTGAGGTGAGAAGTTCGAGATCGGTTTCATGTGTGTTAAAGAAAGTGGTGGAACCAGGGGCCTGCCTTTTTTCATTTGTTTATGTATAGCATGTTTCTCTTTCAGTGAAAGAGGTGCTGGCTCAGTGGAGTCGCTTAGTGGGTCACAGAACAGAGCCATCACTGTTATTTACAACGTGTGGGTTTCCTGCTATGACACATCAAAATGTCTGTTGAGAAAATGGTGTATTTAGATTGCCAAGGCTGCATTTGAACCCCATGGTCGGGCCTTCAGTCTACAATGGCTACAGAGGCCACGCCTTTATAGGCCGTGTCCTTTTAAGGACGTGGCCCCTGAATTGAGATGCAGCTTATATGGGCACCAGCCTTGAAATTTAAAAACGTTACTCCCTGCTGCGCCTTTTCCTTATGTCTTACTAAAACACAAGTGAGGAAAATGTGGATGCAATTAAGGTAATTGGGCTTTACCCATAATGTTCTAACTGTGACTCCAGTTTCCATATCGCGTCTCACCTTTTCTCATGTATCAGGTGGTGGAGAAGGTGGATCCTGCTGAGCCAGTAGGTGTGGTTTGCTTTGTGAAAGGTGTTGCCCAGGTGGTTGAATACAGCGAGGTCCAGCCAGAGACAGCTGAGCTCCAAGGACCTGAAGGAGAGTTGGTCTATAATGCTGGAAACATCTGTAATCACTTCTTTACCAGGACCTTCCTGCAGGATGTAGCAGAGTAAGAGCTTTACCGTCACATGCTGAATGTATTTGAAAAATCTTTGAGGTAAAACAAAAGTCACAGCAAGTGAGATTAGATTGATTTGAGTGAAAATGACTTCAGACTAGGGGGTGAAAAGTAGTTCATGGAAACATCTAGAAGCTATAGGAAAAGGAAAAACCTGACTAAATGAGTGGTCTCTTCTGGGATGACACTGCCCACATCCATAGTGGTTTGATAGTATGAAAATGATGCGAATCATATACTATGGCCTTTAGTCGCCATGTTTCAACCCAGCTGAACACCTATGAGAGAGTCTGGGGTGCTGTGTTTTAAGTTGAAATAAAAAAATAACACGGGGTTAGAGAGGTTAGTCTATTTGACCAGGCTGTGTGTTGTATATTCCCCTTAATAATGGAGGAAGTACAAAAAGTACACTCATGATACCTGTGAACTTACCCATGCAGCTGTTCATAAATTGTTTTATAATAACCTAGAATAATGTGAAAAACCAGTGTCATTTTTGTCTAGTGCAAGCTGTGTGAGTCTCTTTCCATCCAAGGCTTTAGTACAGAGCAAAATATTCTGACTACTACATCCCAGGCTGACACATATTTTTGGAGACTCCCTGACCTATTCTATAGCGCCACCATCAGGCCTAAGTTTGCACTTTATTAACCCTTCGGTCCCTGGCAAGATATCTCGAAAACAACAAAAATTAATGTCCAGGTGTCCATGGCCAAGCTGTAGAACTTCATGTCCCCCAGAGCATAAATCATGTGTATATACTTCCTTTGTGTGTTTGGTCCTCTGAAACTACTTTTGATTTCTTTGTTTCAGAAAATTTGAAGGCCAGTTGAAACAACATGTTGCAATCAAGAAGGTGTCCTTTGTGGACACCTGTGGCAATCAAGTTAAACCCAGCACACCCAATGGCATTAAGATGGAGAAGTTTGTCTTTGACGTTTTTCCATTCTCAAGGTATTGTCGATTTAATATATTGTCTTCAGCTATTGACATCTGCACATAAAATGACATAAAGCCTTATTTTGTAACAGTTAAAAATGTTTGCCCTTTGTCTTTGGAAGGAACTTTGTTGTGTTTGAGGCTGTAAGAGAGGATGAGTTTTCCCCCCTGAAAAATGCAGATGGGGCAGCCACAGACAGCCCGACCACAACCAGGAACTCCCTGCTGGCTCAGCACTGCCGCTGGGCCATGGCTGCTGGAGCCACGCTGCTGGATGAACAGGGGAATGCTCTTTCTCTGCCAACCAGGTCAGAAGAAATGTTCCTGTATACACCCTGCAACAACATATAATGTCAAAACCTGAACCCTGCTATCTTTATACTAAATTAAATTAATTGTTTGCTAGCTTTAGCTTCATATTTAATGAATAGATTTGACAGTGGTATTGCTATCATCTAACTTTTTGCAAGAATGTAAATACAGACAAGTGACAAATCAAAGGAAAAACCACTTCCAGGAAGACAGTGCCCCCATCCACAATGCAGGGGGGGTCACTGACTGGGTTGAACAACTATGGGAGAGTTTGGAGCAATGTGTTAGTGTCTCTACTACCATCAGAATGTCACATGAGGGACTATCTTTTGGAAGAATGGTGTTCATCCCTCCACTAGAGTTCAGAGACTTGGAAAGTCAATGCCAAGGAGCACTGAAGCTGTTCTGGTGGCATGTGAAGGCCCAGCACCTTACTGAGACACTTTGTGTTGGGTTGTCCTTTCATTTGTCACCTATAGGTAGATGTAATATGTACTTCCTGAAATGTTGAACTAATCTTTTAACTATTAAATTAGTTGTTGTATTTGTCCTGCCAAGAGTGTATCCATAGCAATGCTGCACTCATTTGATCATAGGTCATAGTAGCTAGTGGAGCCATCATTTGTCAGTGTTTGGATATCAGCTGGCAAAGCCTTGGTTTCCAGAAGTGTGACACTGACACAGTCTATAATCTATGGACGAGGATTAGGGCCATTATAAAAAATGAGTTCTGACTTTTTTTTCTCAATATATACATGAGAAGAATAATGTACTGAGAATATGATTTTTTTTTTTTCCCCCCTAGTCTGTCTTTGTAAATTAAAAATGTGTGTGTGTGTGTGTGTGTGTGTGTGTGTGTGTGTGTGTGTGTGTGTGTGTGTGTGTGTTTCT